GCTAGAGAAAGCAGAAGCGCTGTGTGCAAATGGAGGATAGAAGAGGTAAATAAAAAAAGCTTACACCATCATCATGAGAGGGGTAGTATCTGCATTTTCCTTTGCAAATAGGTACCTGTAAAATCGATCCATTCTGTGAACCTGTTTGCTTTTCAAAGCCTGTTGTAAGCACTGGTGGTGTTAGAACTGGTGAGTCTTAACGATTTCTCAGTTCTTGTACCTCTCTGTTAAGGTCTTGTTAAGGTTTGAATTTAGTAGATTATAGCCAGTGTTCATCGCCTCCTCCCCCCCTTCAGTGGAAAATAAAACTTGTTTCACTGCGATTTGGATGTTCTGATGTGTATTTGGCCATGTGTTGTTACTAGTGGGCCTAAGAGCCTTCTGCTGTGATAGGTGAAGCTTCTTTCAGGTGATGCTGATTTTTTATTTTCTTTTTGTAAGAAATTAAAACTCATTTATAATTCATGTGGCAGCACCCTAAGTTAGTTTTGGCAGTGCAGATTTTAATTAGGTGGGAGAAGACTTTGCTTCTCTTTTCTCCATTATTACTACTTTATGTGTCTCAGGAAAATGTTTGCTTCTTGTCCACATACGTTAGTGCAAGAGGTTTCAACTGTTTCAAGCTCTAAGTTACCTATTTGGCTGGTGGAGAGGCACTGTTGGTTTTGGGTTTGGTGTTGTCTCTTTTCCCCAGGTTGGGTGTGAATCCCTTGCAGTAAATGTAAAGTTGCTGGGAACAGGCTACATTTTCTTTGCTGTGTTTTTTGAGTTCTTTTAGAAACAGTTTGTGCCCTTTCCCTTTCATTGTATGGCACTGAGGTTCAAAAGTGTTGATTTGGTTTGTTCGTTATCAGAAGACTTGCCTCAGACTGTTTTTATTTTCGACATCTTTAAATTAGCATCATTAGCAAAGGAAACTGTCAGAGATGTCTCCTGGGACAATGAGATTCTCTTTAAGAGTTTTATATACACAGTAAAGTTTCCCAAACAGTATACAAAGTTGCATTACTTTTATGTAAAAAGGAGTAACTAAAGCCAGTTTGTTTGCCTCAGAAACTTAATAGGAGATGAAACCATTAAACAGTGCTTAGCAGAATATTTTGTAAAGACAGTAAATCATCTTTGAATGCCTGTAGCCTCTCTGTACTGAGAAGATTGTACATCAAGTACCTTTTCCATGTTTACCTTATACCAGTGAGTGAAAACTTTGAAAAGGTGCAGGAAACCAAGTAGGGAGCAAAAAACGGAGGAATTAGCAATGGTGTCCCTTTCTTTCAGGTCACCGTACAGATGGAGAGGCCATACAGCAAACCAGTTCTGTTCACTGTCTCTGAATAGAGCATATTAAAATATATCATTTTGTTTTCAGTATTAAAGAATTTGAATACATGTGGTCTTTTAGCCAATATACCTTAAGGTTAGTTTTATAAACATTTTAAGATGCTCATATTCCTTCATATCTAGTTTGTTTCTTTTCAAAGAATAGCATACTGAAGATCAAATTGAAATAAAAATAAGAATTAATAATAGTTTTGGCTAGTCTTCACATGATATTTGAAAAAGGGCTTTTGCCTGTTCAGTTTCATAAAGAAAGTGATTTGTGTAGTACATATTCCTCATGAGTAAAGAAAGCTTTTATATTGAATTTGGTAATAAATCTGTGTGCTTGAAAGCCAGCATTTTTTGTAGTTGCCAACCTAAGAAAATCAACGTTTCTTCAGGAAAATAGTGAAAGTACAAATGCAATACAGAATTAAAAGCTTTCAAATACAGTCCATGAACAAAATTTAGCAGGTTCAAATAGCAGTGATCTTAAATCAGTCTGTTCTGGATGGCATAAATTGAATTAACCAAATGTTGAAGTTCTTCAAGGTTTTACACAGCTGTTGCTGTCTTGTTGTGCATCAAAATAGAAATGAACTCCCCCACCTGATTTCTCTGCCCAAAATAGCAATAATAAGGTGAGATAACCTCTTGAAGACTCTAGGCCATATTATGTTGCAGACTGATGAAGAAGCAGCTATGTACGGTAACAGCTAAAACCTGACAGGGTTATTCATTCTGGCCCTGAAGCCAGCTGGCACTGGGTAAGTGTTTGACCTTCCAAACCAGAATGAACACGTCTTAACTGCCTTCTGAGTCCCAGGTCTGTGCTGATACCTGAAACGTGTTTGGGAGCAGCCTGGATGAATGGTAGGTGTCCTGGGTCAGTGCTGCTCTCTGATGGGGAGATGGTGGAGTCCTTTGGAGTGTGGATTTGGCCTCAGCATCCTATGCTGAGAGGTAAACCAGGAGGGGAATGAATGTTGCTGCTGCCTGGTGTTGCTGCCTAAAGTCACTGCCTGTATTCTGTGTCTCATGGTCACCTTTTCAGATGCCAGTTGATATAGCTGCAGAATAATTTATCTCCCTATCACCAAAAAGTTGAGTTAATTTCTTTGAACACTTTATAAAATGGTAAGATAGTTGCTATTTCAGGGACAGGATATGCACAGGAGATCTGGAGGGATTTGCTACCTTAGGCCTTCTTACTCTCCAAACTGGTGCTTCAGCTTGTCCACAGTGAGGATCAAGGCCTGCAAATAAACAAGAAAAGGCTCAAATACTGAATGTCCTTTTCAGTGCAGAATCCATGAGAAACAGATAACTGATAAACATTTTATCAGGTACAAAAGTTTATTACAATCTAATTCTGTTAGCTGGAGCATGTAAAAAAAAAATAAATCCAAAGTATCTAAGATTTTAGGACAGAAACAGTCCCATAAAATTAAATCTCATCTGATCCTATCAGGTAAAAGCTGTATGTAAGAGGCTGCACTTCAGTTGAATTTGTGATTTAACAGCTGGGAACAAGGGGAGAGGCTGTTCAGGGCTGGTGGTTATCTTGAACCACAGTTGTTACAACTTTGGTTTAAGATGTTAACAAGTTTATTTTGACAATTGAAAGAATTTGGATTCTGGATGGAAAGATGAACTGAGGGGAGGAAGAAACTTATCTTTTTCTTCTTTAGGGTGGAAATAGTATATGAGGTTACTACTTCATACTTGGTGTATGAAATATGCACATAGGAGTATTTGGAGAGTTATGTATGTGAGGGCCTGCTTAAATGTTGCATTAAGTGCATTATTAGCCAGCCTTGCACTCAATTGGTATAAGAAAGTTGATTTCCTAGGTACAGATAAAAATGTAAAAAAGAAAAAAGGACGAAAGAAAAAAAAAAACAAACAAAAACCAAAAAACCTTACCACAATAAAACAACCACCATACTGAATTTTGTAGGAAAAGATAGTGAAAATGGTAAAGTAGGTTTTGCCCAGTGCTCTTGCTGTTGTAAAGTTGATCTGGTCTTGTTTTAAGCTCCCCCCCTGCAGTCCTGTGTCGTCCCCCCCCACCCCAAAAGGCATTTGCAACTGAATTTTTCTGAGCCGTACATGCATAATTTTTGTACTGGCTTGAATATAAGTGGTTTCAGAACAAAGGTGTTCTCCAGTTTTTCAGATTAAAAAGAAAATATGACAGAAGTATGCAAGAGACAAGATTGCATTCACCTCTGCATGACCCAACACCCCGCGATGTTCTGTATAGCTTTTTTTGTTGTGCATTTTTGCAACGTGATGCTCTCTTCCTATGCAGTCATGTAATTATTTGTACGAATGTGTAAGCACTAAGCATGAGATCCCTTTGCAAGTAGGATCTACTCTATTTTTCTGTGTGCTGAAAGCCAGCTCTGTCTGGCTTTGCCAGAGCCAGGGATGCTTGCATCCTGCTCTGTAAGAGCAGTTGTGGTTATGTTCCTGGCTGGCCACCTGAGTGGCACTGGCTGCTCTGAGCTACTTTCTTCTGAAGTTGACAGGCTGTACTCATCTATCCTGTATTGCACTTGGCTGTGAGCCACAGTGAGGTTTTGTGTGCACCTCCTGTGAATGAATGCTTCTGTTTCTTTTAAGTTTGGAGTATTTGAAGTAGCCTACATGGTTGATGGTTTTATTGCGTGAAATCGAGGATTGTCTGGTGAATGGTATGAGGATATGTTCTTTGAGAGTGAAGCCTGTTGCGAAGTGGGTAGGACAGAGGGAGTCTTACCCCACTGGTGTTTGGGAACAGCTTCTAGAATGTTCTCAAAACTGCGCCCAGGGTTTGTCTTCAGAAAAGCTGTTTGGAGCAGTGCAGGTGGCCACTGGTCCTCCATGTGTAGTAGCAGGTTAGGTGTACGCAGGAGGTGCAAATGACCGGAAAGAGCTGGCATTCTATTATAGGCATACCAACCTGGTAGGCTGCTCTGCCTTGTCAGATTCTTGCAAAGGTGGTCCTGGAGCTTCACTTAAAGCAGGTTATGGAGCCATCGGGTCCTAGAGCTGCTGCTGCCTGCTCAGGGCATGGAGCACAGCACCAATAAATGTTTCTCATGATTTTAAGAGACCATGTGGTAAATGTGCAGCTAAGCAGAGGCTTGTGGGTTTTTTTTTTCTTCTTCCTCAAAAAGCATGTATCGTTTAGAAATTACAGTGAGCCTGTACAGCACATAAAATGCATGTGGACACCTTGTTGTACCTGTGCAATCATTAATGATGTGTTTTACCATTCAGTGATTTTCCTTTGTCTCGCTTAACAGACTTGCATGACACTTGTATAGAAAAATACACATCTTTTCCTTAAGAAACAGGCAAGGATATCACTTAATGTCTTTTACATTTTGACTTTAAATTGCATTTACTGTCAGATGAGTTCTTGTCTTATAAACTTGTCAAACCTCTCCTTGAACGTCATTTTGTAGTTAATTTCTTTGTGAAAATACAGAGAAAGCATACTGGGCTTCTGAAACTAATGGTAATGTTTGCAGATATTGCTCTAAAGGATGAACTGTTTCCTCCAGCTTAAAATATTAAGCCAGCATTGCTTCAGCTTGCTTTGCAAGGCTTAACTGTGTCTGCAGTTATGTAAGTTTCAGTTATGTGATATTTCATGGGCATCTATTTAAACATACAACTATTATTTTTAGTTGAAATATAGACTATATAAAGACTTAAAAGATGTGGGATCAAGGTGGACAACCTTGGCAGCAATGGCCTTTGAACCAACAGCAGTGGATGCAGTCATTTCAGCACCAGCAAGATCCAAGTAAGTATATGGAAAGCTTTGTGGATTCTTTTATTTTTCCTGTTGTCAATTGGATTTGTGAATCTTTGTTCAGAGCATGGCTGATAGTTGCCTTTTTTGTAGCTGCTCCCAAGATAATACAGTTATAATGTTTTTCTAAAGAACTAGAAAAATAGCGTCAATTCCAAATGTTTTAACATAGTTAATATTTAATATGCAAAGTACAGACAAGCAACCTGAGTTATCCTGGACAAATTATCAACATTTTACCAGTCATACTGATTAACATTTAGACCTTATGTACTTTTACAGAATCTGTCCCTGTGAGTTACAGAATCTGTATTTCTGCCAGTTCTATAGCCAAGATTAATTATTTATTTGAGGAAATCTGCTTTTTATTCAGTGCTTGTGTGGCAGAAATACTAATGCAAGTTTATACACAGAAAAACTCTCACTGGAAGATTGGTATGGTATTTTAGGTTACAGCAGTGATGATCATGATCTCTTGTTTGGATTTCTTTCCCCCATCAAAAAAATAAACCCACCAAAGCAATAAACCTGAAATTGAGAGTGAGGTGACAGCCATTCAAAGCATGAAGAGAAATATAGGAATAGGTAAAAGAAAGTGAAGGTGTGTATTTGATAATCTGGGTGATTGGGCACACTGGTTTTACATTGCTTTCTGTTACTTCAGTTTCTCTAACTTCACTAGAGAGATTTCGTGACTTGATAATGAGCATAATACACAGACTAGTGTCCTCATCTGAGAGTGCAACTTACTTACAGGAAGGAATGGTAGTAAAGAAAAAAAGGGGGGAGAGAAATGTGCATTCCAGAAATAGAGGGTTATACAAAGGCTATACCTTGCAAAATGTATATTTATAAATTTATAAATTTATAACTATGCATCTTTCTTGGACTTGAGTTTAGAAATTAAGGCTATATATATATTTTTTTTTCTGATATCAAAACTAGATCACTTAGGTAAAAAATGTATTGCTACCACCCATACAGTGCTAATGTGAACCTAGAATAATCTGCCTTACGGCATTTTAAACGTATGCAGAGAAACGCTACTTCAGCAAGTATGTACACTGACATTTGCTTTCAGTTTGTTTTACTCTACACTGTGTGTTTCAATGGTGCTCATGGTACTTGCTGAAGGTAAACGTTGACCATTTCTCTTGAGCAGTGATACATGTAATTGAGAAACATTTAAACTTCAGACATGTGAATACTAACCTTTTATATTTCCTCTGTTTATTTTAGGCCAGATTGACTGGGCTGCATTAGCTCAAGCATGGATTGCTCAGCGAGAAGCCTCAGGGCAACAGAGTGTAGTGGAACAACAAGGAATGATGCCGAACGGACAGGATATTTCAGCAATAGAGTCTGGTCCAAACAACCATAATAATTTTCAGGGGGATCCCAACTTCAACAGAATGTGGCAGCCAGGTTTGTCTTCCTTCCCATGCATTCATTTTTAGTTTTATTTAATATATAATGAAATTTTAATTTTGTCAGACATTTTTGGGTGTGAATATGCCCTGTCCCTTAGGTTTCAAGATGCAAAACTAACAGTAGCATCGTAACTGAGTATCACAGCTGCTACTACCCAGTCAAGTGTTCCACAAAATGTGTAACAGCACAGACACAAAGGTCTGATAACGCAATTCAGTAATCTTTGTATAAAATAAATCGTGTTTATAATATACATAAGCAAAAGATTTGTTCTGGCCCTGACTGTTGCAGAAAGATAGTGTGAATTGCAGTTATCTATTTCCCTGGGTTCTTATTCTTACATCTTATGTTGTGTTTTGCTTATCCCACTGCCCTAGGAACAGCAGCACTGAATGCAACAGGGTGCCTCAGAATTAAAGAGTATATGTTACCTTCTCCTGTAGTGTAATACCTGCTTCTTGCGTAATCTTGACATGTAGAATGAGTTCACAATATAGCTTGTAGATCCTGGGTTTGGGTGTGTTAAAATGTTGAAAAATGAGATGAGCAAAATTTTATCTGTAAAATATTTTTTCATGCATTGAAATGGGCTTCCCAGGGAAGTAGTGGAATCACTGTCCCTGGAAGTGTTCAAACACCATGTAGATGAGGCCCTTAGTGACATGGTTTAGTGGTGGACTTGGCAGTCATGGGGTAATTGTTGGACTTGATGATCTTAAAGGCCTTTTCTGACCTAGTTGTTTCTGTGATTCTCAGTTTCATATACTTAGTATTTTCCATTTTTTGCTTATGTATCTGATTGTCATCTGCATAATTTTTCAGTTACAAGTTGATTGAACGTTTCTATTAATATCAGTTATTTCAGTTCTTTATAACTTCCTCAAAACTTCAGTTTTGGCCAAAAATTCATTTTCTTTTTTAAACTTCATAAAGTAACACTGGCAATAAGCATGGGGTAGAGATTGAGTATTTTCTGCTGAATTTTTTCTGAAGTTGTTTTCTGAAAGTTTGTTACCTCACCATTCTCTTAATGCAATTGGAAATGCGTGAGCAAGGTGTTTAGTAAGCCTGTATGCATGCTTTCTGTCATCTTGGTGAAAACTGCACTTCATGCTTGGTTCTGTTAATGATTGAAAGAGTAACACCTCCAGTTTTCACTGTGACTATTCACATTTGTTTTATTGCAGTGCTTCATAGAAGTAGGCTGAAAATGTCCTTGGCAGTTCTTAGGTATGCTTTACAAAAGGGAGGTGTAGCCATCAGGTTTTGCGTAAGTTTCACCTGCCTGCTCTGGGCTCTAAGTTATTGTAGCCATATGCAAGAATTTGAACTTTACTATGTGGCAGTACACAGTGTGTATTCTAGCAGTATTTCTATATAGGTAGAGGTTTTCACAGAAATACTGTCATTGGACACTTTGTTTTTCATATGATCCTGTGGTGTGAGTATGCTCACATAAAGCATATTCATCCTATGCTTTGCTGTCTCTAAGGTGAAAGAGAATAATATCTTAAATAGTATCTTTTGCAAACAGTCACAGAACAGTAAAAGTGAGGAAGACATTTTTACTGATAATCATAAATGCTTGGTGCCCAAGCTCACACAGAAAATGCAGAACAGGAAAACAGCCTAGATCTAGGAGTGAGAAGAATGGAACCCCTTTTTATTGACAGGAAACAATGTGCCAATGCATTTTGTTATGATTGGGTATATCATTCAAAGGATATGCTGTTTTCCCAGTTTTTTGGGATGCTAATAAAAGACCATGCTGATGAAGATATGACCTAGCTTCCCTTAATTTAGCCAGTGTTGTTCTCAGTGTGTAAAAGTAGACAAACTGAATCATACCATGCACTGCTACCCAAAGTTCTCTTCACATATTTACTTTGTTTCTACAAAGCTTAATCTTTCTCCATATCAGTTGACTTGACGTAAATTGAGCATTTAAATAGTGTCAAATGTTAATGCATTTATTAACAATAATTCTTGTAAGCTGTATTTAAAGGATAAAGGATTCTGTCCTTTAGAATACTTCAGGAGTATTTAGACTTATTTCCTAGGAAGACAAAGGTTATGGCCGTATGACCTGTTAATTCATTCCTTAGGCACTTCTTGCTCTGTTAGCCAGCTGTAACTTACGTTTGAGGGCTTATGACTGTAGCTTATGCTAGGAGCTCTGCTAGATATTGGAGAATCCTGGGAATCACCCATTATTAAGACATAAGACTTTGGAAAGCAGGTTTCAGTGGCTGTGCTCCTCAGAAAACCATTAGCTTTCCTTAATAGGTCTTCTAAGCCTGTTATGTGAAGGAATAAAATAGCTCATTACTTAGTTGAAGTAGAGAAGTAGGGTCACTTCTTCTACAGTTTATACAGTTTATAAGTGCTATGGACTGAGTATCATTGGAAATTTATAAAAACAGATGTACAGTGTGTCTGTGTACATACAGTTCTGCCCCCAGCCCCTGGGTGTTAGTTCAGCTACAGCTATTTGTATTTCCTTCAGTAAGTTGAAGAAATTGTTGAGACAGTGTGGAACAGTCTGTAGATTAATGATTCTTCATAACTTCATCATCTGTGTTGCTTTGAGGAAGGAACCTTTTGAGAGGTACAAAAACGTTGAGTGATTGGTGACTCATAAATTGTACTAACTTGGTATTGAATTATATTCTAAACCCTAAACAGAATGGGGAATGCCTCACCAGCCCCCTCACCCACCTCCAGATCAGCAGTGGATGACTCCAACCCCAGGTCAGATGGAAATTGTTCCTCCGTCCGAAGACAGCAACAGTCAGGACAGTGGGGAATTTGCTTCCGACAACAGGCATATGTTTAACCAGAACAATCACAACTTTGGGGGACCTCCCGATAACTTTGCAATGGGGCCAGTGAACCAGTTTGACTATCAGGTGAAACATATTTGTTGCTTTAATATTGTAGGCGTGCCGAGTCTCTTCCGTGGATGTGTTCCTCTAATATCATCTAGCGGCGACTTTCATTCTTCAGTTCTACAAACATCTGCAGAATCTGTTATCTGCTAAGATACATTTTTACCAAATACCTTGCAGAAGAGACTTTAGAGTTTTCAGTTCTGTTCTGAGGCGAAAGGGGTTTTTTTTTCCTATACTAGTAATGAGAAATGGCTGTTGTCTGCAGTATTAAAACGAATCATCATGTTCCAGTATAGAAATTAACATTGTGTAGTTTTGTGGTTAAAAAAAGAAACAGTAAAAAAAACAGAGGAGGAAGAGGAAAAAAAAATAATCTCAGAAATATGTACTAAAACCACTAGATAACGTACCATAGGGAACAGTCCTGTATTTGCAGGGAGATAGACTAGATGATCCATCGAGCTTCTCTATACCTATCTACTGTGATTCTTTGAATAAACAATGGTATTTCTAAAAAATCCACATACACTTTTTTTTCTTCATTCTGGCATATAAATTGCATAGCATAATAAATCTGTAGGTGGTTTTAGTGCTCATAATAGCAGAGGGCATTGCAAATCTTAAAGTACAAAATTTTTTTGATCTTCTTCCTGTTTTCAGTATTTTTCTTCCAAAACTTGGCTATAAAAGACCAGCTGTACCTGTTAAAACACTTCCTGTTCATAAACAAACCCAAGTGAAGATGGGTAGAAATGAGTGTTTATCTTCTGGCCTACTTTATTATTTAATTCTTTTCAGCAATATTGTTAGGAAGTGAACCAGTAATTTTCAAATATTTCAAATAAAAATATTTTTATTATAATTTCCTTTGTTTACTATTATGAGATCAACTCTTAAAATTAATTTTTCTAAATTCTACAGAAAACTTGTTTTGCAGTGAGTAACAGGAAGATGCTCGAGCTGAAATTGTAGTGGAAGAGTGTTTTTAGCACTAGTGACTTAAATACACAGTGAAATATAATAAAACCAGATTTGATGTTGCAACTCTCTTCCTAAACACTCTCCTCTTAAATAGTTTAATTAGGCATTTCTGGGCAGAAAATACTAAAGCACTCCCATCCCCCCATCTTTGCTTCAAGACTTGTGACTTTTGTGTTGTATACAGCTTCCTCAGTACCGAGGGTCTCTACTGTACTTGCATATTGATGCAGTTAATATTTTAATCAGCTATATTAGCAGCAGCCATGAAAGATTTCTGGGAAGTGCACAGTGCAAAACACTTCTGTAATAAAAGCTTGAACTTTCCATTTTTGTCCTCATGTTGTAGTTACAAGGAAAGACTGCTCCCATAGCTAGACTTTTTAGTTTTGTGTACTCTTCATTTAACTGCATGCTCTGATGTTAAGCTGGTAAGGAACTGCTGGAGATAGGTGGTGCTTGTTGGGCTTATTGTTTAGCACAGTATAAAAGGAGACTGGTTGAAGCCCTTTCAGCTTTGTTAGGATCCCTGCTTCAATCTAAGTTGACACATTAAATATTTAAGGAAAACTTGTTTCTTGGGGACCACAGAAAGAGATTAAGAGCTCTTAGTAGCCTAGAAATCGTGGATTTCTACTTGCATGGACTTGCACACATGCTGTATTTAGTGTTACCATGTGAAGAAAAATAAACTGCATTACTCTTTCAGCATGGGGCTGCTTTTGGTCCACCTCAAGGTGGCTTTCACCCACCTTATTGGCAGCCAGGACCGCCAGGACCACCAGGTCCACCAGCACCTTCTGCACCTCCTCAAAATCGAAGGGAAAGACCCTCATTCAGAGACCGACAGCGTTCACCTATCACGATGCCTGTGAAGCAGGAGCCTCCACAGATTGGTACATGTTAACCACTCCTTAATAAAAAAAAACATAAAAATTTGAAGACTTTTTTTTTTTTTTACATATATATATAAAGTACAAAAGAAGGGAAAGGCAAAGCTTTGTAAATGCTTTGTTTTTTTTTCTTCCCACAATCAGATGTGTGGCATTTTTGGATCGGGGTGAAGGGTTTATTTCTTTGGGTTTGCTTGGTTTGTTTTTTTTTCTTCTTTTGGGGAAGGGTTTGTTCATCTTACAGAACTGTAAACCTTGTTTATGCAGATGCTGTGAAGCGTAGAACTCTGCCTGCCTGGATTCGTGAGGGCCTGGAAAAGATGGAACGAGAAAAACAGAAAAAGTTGGAAAAAGAGAGGATGGAGCAGCAACGTTCACAGTTGTCTAAAAAAGAAAAAAAGGAAAGTGAGGAGGCTGGAGAAGGGGATGGCCCACGGTTACCTCAGAAAAGTAAATTTGTAAGTAGAAGTGGTTGCATTTTGCTCAGGTTTGTATTTCCTGAAAGGTATCAACTTCCTGGTCTCCTCAAAAGAGAGACTGTGTGTTCTTGGTTCTCTTTGATTCCGTAGCTTAAAACTAAGGTTAAGCTGCTGCTTTGTAGATAATTACTTGGTGTTTTGGAGTTGCTAATGTCTGAAAGGTAAAAGTATGTTATTTGATGTGTGTAGCAAAGAAGCAAGGATGAAATTGGGCTTTTTTCTTTTCTGTATTTTGGGAGCATGCATGGTCTTTGAAGCAGCTGAAAAATTTAGATACCTGTATTTGCTAAACTGAGCCCATTTAGGAAACCTTATGTTCTGTTCACTTTAGCAGTTATCTCAGTTGTTAGCAGTTCTCAGTACCTCTCTGGCAGTGAACTGACAACTCTGTATTTTGTTATCTCCTGTGGGTAGAGACGGAGTTGCATGTTTATTGGGAGGGGGGAAGGAGAGTTTTATGATAACTGTAATACAGACTTCAGTACAAAGTAAATTAAGTTGACTGTCATCAATAGACACTAATGAGCTTGGCATCTAAGTTTTCCCTGAAATACATGATGTTGTTCTTGTAGGACAGTGATGAGGAAGATGAAGATGCTGAAAACACAGAAGCTGTAAGCGTTGGGAAAACCAGCAGGAGTCCATCCCCGGCTCCTCAAGAGGAGCAAAGCGAACCAGAAATGACAGAAGAGGAAAAGGAGTATCAAATGGTATTAATAATGTAGTTCTCACTGAGTGTTTCTGTCTGTTTGCTCCTATTTTCCAGGCATAGCTAAGTAAAACACTTTTTCTCTGCCTGATGCTATCAATAGAGGTATAGCGCACATACTGTAAAGCAGAGTTATATTTGCATGTCTCTATATTGCTCTTTCTCATATATACAAGGATATGGGTTACATAATTTGTATTTAGCACAACAGTGAAATAATGTAATGACTGTGATCTCTACACACTGATCATTATTAATTCTGTGGTTTTGCTTAATTTGCCAAATTTCTGAAAACTTTTGATGATTAAGTGTCTGAAATCTATGCTTAAACCTCAGTTCCTGTGAAAGGGAGTTTTAGAAATGTATTCTTGCAAGAAAGTCCTAGATGAGCAACAATTTTTCTATGTCACTAGGAATTTAGAAACTTCATATTTTGAAATCAAAGTAGCATGCTAATTGTGCAACTGAAACCTTGTTAATTGAAAGCCCTGTATTTTTGCAAAGCACGTGGCCAGGCAGAGCAGCTTGGAGAACTAGCTACCAACATTTTCAATTTTTGTAGGAAGTATGTCATAATAAAATCCTACATAAGTTACCTCTGATGATTTTTGCAGGATTGGGGTCAGTGAGACAGCGTATCAGACTTAAATGTGCTCTTTATTCTTTTCTGAAAAATAAATGGGGTCAGTCCAAGTACATTTCTGATTTACATATTCATTTTTGACTTTAGGAATCAGCGGTGTGTAATACACATGGATATAGTTCACAGTCAAAATACAAACTGTTCTAAAATTTTTGAAGTCAGGTCAAATTTAAACAGTTTCAGACCTATGTTTTTAAATCATATGTTCCGAGAAGTCATAAAATAACACATGTAGGAGAGTATTTTAACAGCCATCAAAAGAAGGAAAACTCTATGGACAAAATTTAAACATAGTATTTATTCAAGGTGTTTTGGCCTTTAATTGTAAATACCGTTTACTTCAGATGATGCTGACAAAAATGCTGCTGACAGAGATTCTCCTAGATGTCACAAATGAAGAAATTTATTATGTGGCCAAAGATGTTCACCGTAAAGCAACTAAAGGTATGCCAGCTCTTTTGGGGTTTTTTGTTAGTTTCTTCAGTGAATATTCTATATTTGCATGTCTCTAGAACATTTAAACTCCATAGTTACTCCCCAAGAACAATTTTAGTATAATGCATCCAACTTGGTAGAGTTCAAAACCAGTGATCATGTACTGTCATCCTGTGCAGTGTATTGTGAGTTACTTCATTTCTTTCATACAATTCATTTTAGATAAAATGATACCTGTGTGTCAATGGCTCTTGAGTTGTAGCTGTTTCTTAATGCTGTCATCTTTATCTCAAGTTCTTAGCTGTTCAGAAGTGAAAAGAGACAAGCCTTGAGTCCTCAATTAGTAATTAATTTCCTTTCACTATTAACACATATTGTACTTGCGTAAAAGATTTCTTTAACATAACTGAGTAATCTAAACATGTAACTACTGAAACTTGAAAATGATGTGCAGATGCTGTAACTTGGAAAGTGATTTATGAGTATATTTGTGTCTTTTTTTCTGTTCACTGTTAATTTGCAGTTAAATTCTAAATCTTCGTGGTCAGAAAATCTAGAAGTGGTTTTAAATGGATGATGCATTTTTAATGTTTCTTCTCTCCCTCCAAAGAACAGCAATAGTAGTAGATTTAACAATACCATAGACTCATGACTATGAAATCGTGGCTATTTGTGTTAACATGTTGTTCCTGTTGTTGATGTGATACAAAGCTCCTGCAAAACAGCTGGCACAGTCCAGTGCACTGGCTTCCCTCACTGGACTCGGTAAGTATGTTCCTTATTTTTGAGAGGGCTTAAAGGGGGAGTTTCACTCTTGCCTTGCGTTTCTAGAATTGCGTTTTGAAACTAGATTTTCATTGCCCAGGAGTATGGGTCACTTTCTGATAACTTTATCAGCACTTTTGTTTGTTCCACAGGTGATCCTAATGATATAAGTGGGATGGTTTTTGGAGTAAAGGACTAGTCAGTGTGAGTTAGTGTGTGAGAATCTTGCCCTAATTTTGAAAATACATAAAAACTTCAGATAAATTTACTTTTCAAAGTATGATTGTTTCAGAAGCATACTGCAGTCTTCAGAGAGAGGAATACTGTTTGTATTTCTTTCCCATTTTGATCCTTCCAAGCAGGAAGAGAAAGCTGATTAGATTAACATGAAAGTCTAGAAATAAAAATATTTTTTTATCTTTGGTATTATCATTTTACCTAATTAAGCACAGAGGCTCCCATATGATATATTACAAGAAACAACACAAGAAAAAGAGTTTGAAATCCCAGTTTGAGAAACAATAGCAAAAGATCTTTCCCAATATGCTTTTTATCATCTAAGACTGTCAGTGTCAGTGATCAGTTATGTGTTTGTAACTTGGAATTCTGATTAATTAGGTTGAATGTTATCACAATTATTCACGTTTTAAAACTAAGTCAATAAGATCATAAGAACCTCAGCCTGAAAGAAAGTAAAATATCTCCATGTCAGTTGTTTAAATTGACTTTATCATTCTTATCAGTCAAGTAATTATTAATATCTCTAGGGGAGAAGAAAGTCCATTTCTGTTCCATCTCCATACCTGTCAAAGTGCAGTGTTTTCTAAATCAATATAGGAAAACTGAAATGGCATTCAGAATTTCTGTAGCCTTGGACTGCGGAGGCGGCTGAAGTAATTTCAGAGGTGTCTTCTGGGAAAGGTCCCAGGCATTTTCTGTCCAGTTGCTGATACAGAGGCAGGCACTGTTACGATCTCCACAGAGAGCTTTTTTGCTCTTCCATGCAATAGAAAAAGTACCATGATCACAGTGGTTGCCTGCTGAAAATAAACATTCCAGAAGAAGTAGAACCAGACAGTGAGCATCAATGCAGATATGGGGGCCTTGGTCACACCAGTCAAACACCATTGGCGCTTACCAGAATAAAGTGACTTCATCAGAGAAGAGGAAGTGAAGGAAGGGCAATGTTACTCTCCTCTTTGCCCCACAGAAATATTAGGAACAAAGCTTAATCTTTCCTCGTGATAGACTGGACTTTATGCACGCAGGTGGACTGGGTGGTTATGGATCAGGAGACAGTGAAGATGAGAGGAGTGACAGAGGCTCTGAATCATCTGATACTGATGATGAGGAATTACGACACAGAATCAGGCAAAAACAGGAAGCATTTTGGAGAAAAGAGCGAGAACAGCAACTACTACTAGAAAAACAGCTAGAAGGTAAATCATATAATGTCTTCTTACATATACTGCTTACATACATACACATATGCTACATATACTGCTGTATATGGGGTTTACTACTTAGAGAAAATACATTTTAAGCCAAAAACTATCAAATTTAGAAATAATGTTCTTCTAAAAGTTTTCACAAAAAAGGTGGTTTGAGCTACTTGATCAAAATGGGGTTTGCTGCTTTTATTTATAAGAAGAAAAAAAATCCATGTAGTGTTTTCAATAAAATATTTACTTCAGAGTTAAGGCATGGTGCGTATCTATATGCTATAGATATTGTACTATATAAATACTAGTATTGCTTTATAAAAATTCATGTGTGTGTATAATGTATTTTTTAAAAATTATTAGTATCTCAGTTGTGACTAGACTGTAAATTTCACCTTTCTGCACCAGACTGGAGTTTGTATAAACTTGATTCCTCAAAGTTGTATATACTTTTAAGTATATAAAGCATATTTTGCATCATCTAAAAAACATGCTTTTCTGTTACATAATGTTGAGCAGTGCTCCATTCGGAATGTACAGTGGTAGGCTGCAGCTTCTTCAAACTCGCTGTTCTCAGTTGTAGCAGAGGTTTGTTTCCACATGTTGGTTCTTCATAACTGGGGTTTTATACCTAATACTGGGGAAAGATAACTGAATCCAGTCAGTTCACACTTAGCCTCTCGTAAGGTGGCAGGCTTGATTTTAAAATACAAACCAAAACCAAATCTCTAATTTAATTCTTCTTCTCTGTGCAAGGTAAGGTTTCTCCTTTTGTACCAATAATGTAGGTCAAAAGGGAATCACAGTCACCTTGCACTGATGAAGAGCAGCGTAGATCAACACACAAATACAGTGGGCAGAAGTCATGAGCTAAGTTCATAAGCTGCAGAAGAAATAAAGTGCTATTACAATAGCATACTTTTTTCTTATTTCAAGATGGACGACTCCCTCTTTTTATTTTAAAGGCCTAGAAATAAGACATATGGATCTCTTAATAAAAGGCTGAACTAGCTAAACTTTTGGGTTCCTTAATATTCCTGTCTGTCTGAGTATTGTAAGATATATGCATAATAGGATAGCTTTTTATGGAGAGTGACTGAGTAGTGGCCTGTGACTGCTGTATTCCTAGTGCAGGAAACCGTATGTCACTTTGGGGACATCTCCATGAGGCTGTTTACAGAAATGTAACTCTGGAGTAAAGAAGCTGACTCTATACATCCAGAATACCAAAGAATACTAAATTCAGGGTCTCACAGTAGTGGTGTTTAGGAAAGGCAGCATATTTCTACTATACAATACAACACGTCATCTTCTAACATAGTCTGGCTTCTGCCTTTATCACCTAATATCTAAGGGAGCAGGTGGAATTCTTTTTGTGGGTTAGATTTGACTCTCAGTTGCCACTAAGATCACTGGGTTTACAGATGCAGTTTTATTCCATAAGTTAATTCAGTCCACATCAGTGTGATAGCCCACATGAAAAGGCTGTGCTTGGGGGTTTTTTGGCTAAAAATGTATGTCAGATATTTTTTTCTTGAGCTCAATTTAAAATGGGAAGAGGAGATAAACCCTGGCCAGTGATGCAAAGGATCCTAGGTTGAATAGAAATAAGTAAAACTATTTTTAAGGTTGGAAATCTCTGGAAAATGCTCTGAGGGTCTGAATTTCTTTACTTTTCTCTGTGAAGATCTTGGCCTGATATTTGTTATGTTACTTTCAAGAAACGTATTTGTACATTCTGTTGTCTTCTTACCATGCTGACTACCAAGCTTACATACAATCCAAACTGACTAATTTTTTGTTTTGTAAGAGCTTCACAATCTATTCACATTAAATACTGTGGTCTTAACTTTTGAGCTTAATCTTAAGCAAAGAATTATCTATAAGTCTCTCTTTTATACTGTTCTTACCTTCCTTAGAATTCATTTGCTATAAAACCGATAAAAACAAGGAAAAATTTGAATTGCTGGTACCTGTTAGCATTTAGGACTAATCTAAGTTATCTTACACTCTAAACCCAGTGTTTTCTTTAAAAAAAACAAACATGTCACTACAGCACAAGGTATTCCTCTAAGGCTTTTTGTGGTCCTACAGAACATGCAGGTACAGCTGCTGTTCTGAGGTTGAGAGCCCGCCTGTGCACTCTATGGAAAATGCAGCTTCTTCAGACCAGCCAGTGATTACTTGAACCCAGACAAGTGGGGCTGGAAGGAAAGCAGGAGCTGTAGGTACTGCTAGAGGAGTGTTGTAGGAAGGAGAAGGAAAGAATTAGTAAGTTGCAGGAGGAAAAAAAATGTTTGTGTAGATGAGTTTGAGAGTTTTGGTGCTCCAGGGTATTTGTTAGAGAACTTTGTCTTCAGCCACTGAAACAGGAAATAACATCAAGGACTTCTAAAAGTGGGTTGTGCACTTTTTCTAAACCAGGACTGCAGCTCTTCTAGAGTTACAAAAAGAGAAAAGTCTTTTGGTGGGTAGTTGGCATGATGGCAGACAGTGTATTTATTATAAGTATTACGAAAGATGCTTGGAAATCTGGTTTTGCCAAAAGTAATGGTATGGAAATTATTGTCATTTCACTCCAAGTTAATTGCTTTTTTTCTTTTACACACTTTTTTTTTTTTTCCAGAAGAAAAGCTACAAAGTGAAAAAGTTTCAAAAGAGATGAATGAATTTATCAACAAAGAACAAAATAGTAACTCGGCATCACAGGAGGCAAAAGAAATTGAAGCAGATATGGTTCATGAAAAGAAAAGATCTCCAAATGCAATTGCTCCTGATACAGAGCTTAAAAAAGAGGGTAAAGAGAGGACAGGAAGGAGTGGGTCAGGAAGCTCTAGCAGTGGTAGCAGTAGCAGCAATAGCAGAAGCAGTAGCAGCAGCAGCACTGTATCTAGTTCATCCTATAGCAGTAGCTCAGGTAGTAGTCGCAGCTCTTCACGTTCTTCCTCTCCTAAAAGGAAGAAGAGGCACAGTCGCAGTAGGACACCTTCACATAAAGTTAGGCGCAGCAGAAGCAGGAGTTACACCCACAGAAACAGGAGAGAGAGAAGTAGGAGCAGGGAGAAAATAAGGGAAAGGAGAAGATCTAGTAGAAATCACAGTGCTGAAAGAGGAGAGAGGCGAAGAAATCGGAGTCCTTCAAGAGAGAGAAGCTGGGATAGACGTAGTAGCCGTTCCAGAGATAGGCGAGCTAACCGTGCAAGCCGCAGCAGAAGCAGGGATAGGCGTAAAGCTGAAGACCAGCGTAGAAGCCCTCCTGGAAATAGGCACAAACATAAAAGTGAGGGTAAAGACCAAGAAAGGAAGAAGGAGCAGGGTGGAGCTGTAGATAAAGACAGAAAAAAGAACAGAGAAAGGGAGAAAGATCAAGAAAAAAGGAAAGACAGGTCCAAAAAAGAGGAAAAAGAAAGTAAGGCTGGTAGTCATGACGACAGTAGATTAAAGAGAAAAAGGGACAGCGAAAGAACTTTCACTCGCGGTGAGTCCATATGTGTGAAAATAATAAGACAGGATTCCAGGCAAGAATGCAAAAGAATTACTACCAAAGATAGCAAAAAACGGTCAGGCTCCGAATCTAGTGCGAGGAGTAGTTCTGAATCGCCAGGAAGCAGCAAAGAAAAGAAAGCTAAGAAATCGAAGCATATTCGGTCATGCTCCATGGAGAAATCTCAAAGGTCTGGTAAGAAGGCAAGCCGCAAACACAAGTCTAAGTCACGATCAAGGTAGTATACTTTTTAAGTATTTTGTCTGACTTTTTACTTTTATTTTTTTTATATTCGTCTTCATGTGTACGGCATATGAAGTTTTTTAATAAAGTATGGTATTTGTTAATTTTTTTGTCTTAGGCAAAAGTAACTTTGGAAAAATCTCTTAAAACTGTTAATAGCTAAAGCCTAAAGTGTTTGTGGGTTTGGGGGTCTTTTATTTTTTCCAATTAACTTTTGCCCCCTTTTCCTTCTATTTTTCAGATCAATGACTCCTCTTCGTCGTAAACGCTGAGGAATTTATGGCACCAGTGCTATGATGTTTAAAAATTCCATGAGTTATAAAGGCTTGTCTCATTATAGAGGCACATTGTGGCTATGTAGGTGAAACCAGAATCCTTTTTTTATCTGTAAATAAGTGTATTTTTTCCAAATGCTGCTCAGAATTAAATACCTAATAGGATTTCTTTGCATTACCTTTTTTTTTTTTTTTTCTCCCCAAGAACGGTAGTGCTTATTAAGAATATAAACCAGGCCATTCTCTTTCAGCTGTAATGTTCTTAAAATTACTATTGAATGTACTGTGATGTCAATAAAGCTCTTTAGTTCATTTTTTTTGTTTAAAATTCTTGCACCTGAATTTTGTGTTAAATTGTAGAAGGTACTTTTTTTTTAAGGAGAAAAATAAGCGAAGAAAAAGGCAGCTTTTTTGGTATAACAGTTTTTAAAGTACTTGAAAAAGATTTTAACGTAAACCACTTGTCAGAATATGTAATCCATGGACATGATGAAATTAATCTATTGGGGGGGTGGAAGAACAAAGCAAAGACATCTTATTTTTTCTTCAGATCTGTGTAATAGATTTTTAATAACCTTTTTATTTGAACTAGCAAGTAATATATGCTGTGTGTGTAAAATATGGGTCACTGTAATACAAGCTATACTGAAAGAGACTGAACCCCACTAGGAATATGTGCAACTAACTGATCTTGTGTGACATTGTTAAGCTCTGGAACTATATTCCTCACCCAGTTTTCAGAGAGGACTTTCTGGATGTCCAGGGATATTACAGGAACAAGACTCTATTTTAGACGTTTTTACGGAATATATTTATAAATGGCACTCAGTACACAGTAGAAAATTGACAGTAGGTTAACTTTACATTTTGGCACATGCATTAAATGTGTAGTAAACATTAAAGCTGCTTTTTTTTTGTTAGTGTTACGAACGAGAACTGTGATTCCTGTAAATCACAGTGATGAGACAGCAACGTAACTAAATTTTTCATTTTAACGTCACCATAAAGTGAAAAAGGTCACCGATTATACCTCCTTCTTCAGGAAATTAACTGCTGCTGTTAGTAACAGGAGTGTGAAATAATACTAATTAACAAAAAAAGCCACACTACATAACTCTAGGCCAGTGACTGTTAACAAGGAACATTAATGCAGGAAAAAATTGGGGATCTGTGCCTAGAAGGTCTGGTTATGATACCAACTGTGAAAAAGACAACAGGCTTAACATCAAAGTAACATCTCTTTGATGGCTGTATCTTCTGAGAAAAACAAACTAGTAGTATGGGCAACTTGCAGAGCATGTCTTCATGAACAGTTTAATCCATTTAACTAAAAATAGAACTCAGTTATGCAGCATTTTTGCCAGTGTAATTTTTTCGTAAGTTAGAAGTAAACTGCTTCAGTGCAAAGAATCACATTTTAAATACATGTTTATTAAGCAAGCTAATGGCTGGCGAATACATGATGCATGTTTATCAAAACACTGTTACAGATAAATAATAAGTTAATTGGTTATAAATAGCATACCTCCCCCACCCAATTAAGTCCTTTTACATAGCATATGTGCTCATACCTGTTAGCAAAATAAGGCACAATTTGCAGCACAGGACTTTTAATTGCATTGGTGTGGATATAAATAATGATACATTAATCCATTCGCAGTACATGATTTGCTCTTGGTAAAAGGGAGAGTTTTATGAGGACTAGGTAGCGTAACAGATGGCTTGGAAGGATGTCTCTTCAGGGCAGGAATTAAGTTTAAGAAAAGCTATTGAGGAATACAGTTTCCATGATGCATTGAATTTGATTTTCAGTTCAGATTTTATATTCTCTGTCTAATAATAAAAAAGATTGTGTATGGAAAGCTTTATATACTCTGCCAACAACTGGAATTCTGTCACTTCCTGTAAATATGAGAATTATTTTTTGACACAAATGCACTTATATGGGTAGTGAGTGTATGCCAATAAAAAGAGCATACGATCTCTGTATTTAACTGTTTCAGAAATCTTACTAAACAGCATACTCAGCACACCAGTAATTAAAAATACATCAGTGCTATGTCAGCTTCACCTACATTAGAATTCTTTGTGGATTAGAAACTCCGTTCTGGCTGTTTTTCAATGGTAAAGCTAACATGACATCTAGTCTTTAATTCCACACATGTAAAGTGTTCCTAAATTCAAACATACAAATATTACACAATGGGAATGTATAATTTTGGAAAAATCTGAATTGGGCTGCTGCTCTGTTCTTTTGCTTTTTGAAATAAACACTGCAAAAACCATTTTGGTGTGCTGCAGGAGAGCAGGGCGTACAAGTTTGAATGATATGCAGCAGCATGACAGATGCAGGCACGACACCTTGAAAAATTGTTTTAATAAGGGATGGTGTGGAATCGAGTAAAAAATGGTTTCCATGCAAATTGTCTTGAAGATGAATACAGCAAACCCAATGTGAGCAAACCCCAAGGCACCCCTTGCGCCATCTATGAACAGGAACCGGCTGTGGCCATGGACAGGCCAGTTGGGTAAAATATTCCAGCTTTAAAGATTGAACATGTTTTTTGAAATACAGGATAATTGGGGGTTTGGGGGGAAAAATCTGTTGTCATTCGTGTCTTTGAGGAGAGACTTTGTGTCCTGTGGGAGAGATTGGTGCCCAGGCTGCTGCTCCTAATTACAGTTACCTTAGAAGTCTGTGGTCAGAAAAATGGAATAGCTGCCTCTAGTTTAAAACCAGCTTATCCTAATAAGTAAAATACTTGCCATTGTGCATATATTTAATTGCTTGTTACTAAATTTTTAGAAGTCACAAATATAAAAGCAATGGCAACAGAAGGATTGGCTCTCTCCAGATTTTGCATTTGCTGTGGTAAATAAATGGCAAGTAATAAATTAATCTGCATAAATAATATGCAGAAGCACACTTGAAAGAAGGGTTAGTTTTGTGTCTTAAAGAGACTGTGTGTCTCGGCATAAAGCATTTCTTTGAGCTTTTTCCAGTAGCTCTGAGGTGTCATTCATGACTCCTAAGTCCACTGCAATGTGAACTTTGCTGCATGGGAGGTAGGTGCATAGTGAAGTGGTGCACATACATACTGAGCAGCTTTGCCACGTATTTATTTGCTGCCAAGACCAGGTCTTTTGAGACCTTTCAGCAGTCCTTAATTAGCTTTAAAAAAAGTAAATCCAAACATTACCTAGTAGATGAATTACACTGTATTTGCAGACCTGCCAGTGGGCAGATTTCAAGCAGCAAGGGTTGGTGCACTGAGCAAGGTCAGTTAATGAAACACCCTGGCTTTGGATAGAGGTTGTACTGCTCCAAACCTGCTGCCGGGTGGTTTGCGCAGGCCATGCTCCTGCCTGTGGCTGCCAACATCCATCCACGTGGCTGGACAGGGAACCGGGATACTGCAATCATCTGCGTGGAAAGCACGGGAGCGCTGCCAGCTCCTGCTTTCATGGCTTATCTTTGCCTTTCTCCATACCCCTCCCTTCCTGAGACCTTGGATTTTCATGGGACTTCTTCATGAGACCTGTGGCTGAATAAAGTGTCAGAAAACGATTCTTTTTCAAAACTGCCTGAATTCTTTACCATTTCAGCGTGTTAAACTAGCTCACCATGTGGATCGGAAAAGGCCAAAGCCTGCCAAGGGGAGGCAGGAGGGGAAGAAGATCTCCTTGTGTGTCATCTCAAAGAGCCATGCAGATTGAAGCCCTCAGCTGAACCTCTCTGTTCAGGGCCCTGGGCAGCTGTGCCAGGGCAAGGGATGGGGAGGGGAAGGCAGCCTTGTCCCTCCTGGGCCACAGCAAGGGCTTTGCCTGCACACTGTGACCGAGCAGCCTCTGCAACAGGGAGGAGCAACACGGCTTGGGAAGTTCCCAAGCACCCAAGGGGTTGTCTCAAGCGTCGCTGTGTTGGGAGGCCCAAGAGCTCTGCTTCCAGCCGTGGATATGGAGTGCAGGCTGTTGAGGATCGGTCCTCCCCATGTCTCCCCTCTCACAGAAGTGAGGAGTCTTGTAATCCGGGCGTTACCTGGTGATACAAGAGACTGAAAGCTAATTGCTGTCTCATTGCAACATGACTCTCCTAAAGAAGTGCTTCCTTGTGCCAGGACATGCAAGGATCAGGCCCACACGCAGGAGTAAGGGGACATACATAAAACGGCTGTGAATTTTGCGCGGGGCGCCCGGGTGAAGCCCTGCTGCCGCAAGCCACAGTGCACCGCAGGTTGGCATGGGCTGGGTAGGGAGGGCTCCCGGCTGCTGCATCAGCAGTGGGCCGCACAACAGCGCTTCACTGTTGTGAAGAGAAAGGTAAAAACAGTGTTTTCATCCGTCTTGTACCACATCTTCAGCTGAAGTATATACACACACACACACATAAATACATATTAGCAAGCATGATTAAGTGCTTGTAATGGTCTGTCCAGCGTTTTGCTCTGCTTCCCTTACATTTATAATATTATAAAAATGCAGTAATAAATAATCATCTTTAAATCGATGTGGTGACACATTCTGACCGGCGGCGGTGCCTCACAACACCTAAGGCCGCAGCAGGCGCTGCCCGGGGCTGCGGCCGGACACTACCACGGACAAGGGCAGCACTGCCGGGCTGCGACGGCTGACGGCAGGGCCGGGCCGGAACCAACCTTCCCGGCGCCCGGGCCGGCAGGCAGCCGGCACCGTGTCGCCGCCGCACGCCCGGCGCTGGCAGGGTAGCGGGGCGGGGCGAGCACGGACTGCTGCGGCCTCGGAGATGTGGAGCGGCGGCGGGCCGGCCCGCGCCCTCACCCGCACCGTGTGGCGCCGGCGGGCAGCGGGCGGTGAGCAGGCGGGCGGGGAGGGCGCGGGTGGGAGGGACCCGGCGCGGTGCCCGCGGGGCTTGGCTGGTTCCCGTCCCCCGCCCCGCGGCCGAGGTGGCCTAGCGGGGGAGTCACTTCTCCGGCTGCCTCACAGCAGGGCCCCGTAAGCCTCCCACCGGCTTCCACCTGGCCGTTGCTTCTGGCAGTTCCCGGCGGCGGCCCCCTGGCCTAGGCTCGGCGTGCCGGCCGCGGCCTGTCCCCGGTCTGGTGCGCTGGGCTGGGGCATGGCTGATGGTTTGCGCGGCAGAGCCGGGAGCCCGCCCGGCCGCACCGTGTTCGTGCCGGTAATGAGCCACTCGTGCTGGCAGTGCCACGCCAGGCTAACGCCGGCCTGTGAGGCCTGGTAGGGACTGGGGGGCTTTACGGAGCCCTAACAGAGCTCTCGTAATGGAGGCGTTTTTCCCCTGCTGCCTCCTTTACATCCCGTCAGCCCAGAGATACCTGTAGTTTACCTAGTTCACCCCGCCGCTCCCTGCTGCCTAAACCCATCTGCAGGGGCTGTTA